GTGACGGCGGCGGAAGCGGAGGCTTGGGGCTAGGCGGGAGAGGGCTAGGTGGTGACGGCCGCGGCGATGGCGGCACGGGGCTTGGCGGCTGTGTGCTAGGCGGCAACGGCGGTGGTGACGGCGGCAAGGGGCTTGGAGGGAGCGGGGCAGGCGGTGACGGCGGCGGAAGCAGAGGCTTGGGGCTAGGCGGGAGAGGGCTAGGTGGTGACGGCCGCGGCGATGGCGGCACGGGGCTTGGCGGCTGTGTGCTAGGCGGCAACGGCGGTGGTGACGGCGGCAAGGGGCTTGGAGGGAGCGGGGCAGGCGGTGACGGCGGCGGAAGCAGAGGCTTGGGGCTAGGCGGGAGAGGGCTAGGTGGTGACGGCCGCGGCGATGGCGGCACGGGGCTTGGCGGCTGCGTGCTAGGCAGCAACGGTGGTGGTGACGGCGGCAAGGGGCTTGGAGGGAGCGGGGCAGGCGGTGACGGCGGCGGAAGCGGAGGCTTGGGGCTAGGTGGGAGATGACTAGGTGGTGACGGTGGCGGCGACGTCGGTGGTGACGGCGGCGGCAACGGCGGCAAAGGGCTTGGCGGAAGTGGGCTAGGCGGTGAGGGTGGTGGTGACGGCGGGGGCGACGGCGGCGAGGGGCTTGGCGGGAGCGGCGGCTGTGAGGGCGGCGACGGCGGTGGTGACGGCGGTGACGGCAGCGGTAATTGAGGCGACGGCGGTGGTGACAGCGGCGGTGATGGCGGCTGGGACGGTTGGGACGGTGGCTGGGACGGCGGCGACGGTGGCTGGGGCGGCGGCGACGGTGGCTGGGACGGCGGCGACGGCGGCTGGGACGGCGGCGACGGTGGCTGGGACGGCGGCGACGGTGGCTGGGACGGCGGCGACGGCGGCTGGGACGGCGGCGACGGCGGCTGGGACGGCGGCGACGGTGGCTGGGGCGGCGGCGACGGTGGCTGGGACGGCGGCGACGGCGGCTGGGACGGCGGCGACGGTGGCTGGGACGGCGGCGACGGTGGCTGGGACGGCGGCGACGGCGGCTGGGACGGCGGCGACGGCGGCTGGGACGGCGGCGACGGTGGCTGGGACGGCGGCGACGGTGGCTGGGACGGCGGCGACGGCGGCGGTGACGGCGGCGACGGCGGCGGTGACGGCGGCGACGGCGGCCGTGACGGTGGCGACGGCGGCGGTGACGGTGGCGACGGCGGCGGTGACGGCGGCGACGGTGGCTGGGACGGCGGCGACGGCGGTGGTGACAGCGGCGGTGATGGCGGCTGGGACGGTTGGGACGGCGGCTGGGACGGCGGCGACGGTGGCTGGGACGGCGGCGACGGTGGCTGGGACGGCGGCGACGGTGGCTGGGACGGCGGCGACGGTGGCCGTGACGGTGGCGACGGCGGCGGCGACGGTTGGGACGGCGGCTGGGACGGCGGCGACGGTGGCTGGGACGGCGGCGACGGCGGCTGGGACGGCGGCGGCGGCGGCTGGGACGGCGGTGACGGCGGCTGGGACGGCGGCTGAGGGATTGAAGGCAAGGGCGGGCTGGGTTGTAGCGGAGGGCTAGGCGGCAGTCGCGGACTTGGCGGCAGTGTGGGGCTTTGTGGCGGCAGAGGGCTGGGCGGAGCTGGAGCGTTGGGTGGCGGCGGACTGCTGGGGGGTAACGGCGGGCTGGATGGTGGGACAGGGCTGGGTGGCGACGGGGGAATGAGCGGAGGTGTCGGGCTGGGCGGTAGGGGCGGGCTGGGTGCGGGGGGAGGGCTGGGCGGAGGTCGAGGGCTGGGCGGTGAAGGCGGGCTGGGTGGTAGAGGAGGGCTGGGGCGCGGTGGCGGGCTGGGTGGGAGGGGGCTGGGTTGAGGGGGTGGGCTGGGTGAGGGTGGCGGGCTGGGCGGTGGCTGCGAGAGTGCGGGATAACCGATAAGCCGGCCAGCATCGATCACCTGCGGTCGGCAGTGCAGGCAGAGGAGGAGTCGCCGTACCGGTACATGGGCAACGGCTGGGAGGTACCGGTAGGCCGTACGACGGTACGAGTGAGCAGCGCAGTAACAATAACAACACATGCAGGAGTTCTGAGCAGAAGACAGCGGACGTCGGCATGGCTTGCGCGTCAAGTCATGGAAAGCAGGTATAGCAGGTAGACAGCAGGTAGCACTGGTGTTTGCAGGCAGCTCCCACGGCTTGTACGGGTTATACCAGTACTGTTTGCGCAGCATGCTGCATGCACGAGTTACGTACCGGCAGCAATAGAATCAACCCACCCCACGCAGCAAGCAAAAGACGCGGCAACCCACCTTCAAGTCGTTTTGGCCCAGCGGATTGGCGCCTATCATAAAGCTCATGCCAGCCACGTACGGCAGGGTACCCGTGAAGCTGCACGTGTACCTGACAGCCAACGACGTTGTGTACGACATATACGGCAGAGTTTGTACGGCATGTACGACAGCGAAGAAAGAGGGAGCGCACATGAATGAATGGCCGTACGTCACGATGGTCCCCTAAAAGGGAACACACATGTTGCACAGGCTGGACAGCGTTTGGATAAGTGGTTGCAGCTGGTGTTCAGAAAACTGGCCGCGAATAGGAACGCGTGCTGGCTACCCAGGATGCCCTAGTGTCGCGTGCAAGTGGCAGAGCGAGGGAAGGCGCTTTGCGTCGCACAACCTCGCCCATCGCACTGCGACTCTTGCGTACGACAATTGTAAACAACAGCGGTGCCCAGTGTACCAGCCCGTGCCAGCAGACGCAGCCTGATGGTGTGCAACGCCCACCTAGGACGGTGCTGGGGCGCCAACTCACCAGTACGTCAATGTGCCCACGCAGGTGGATGTCGTACATGCATCTTGGGCGCATGACGTGGTTAGGGTCGTACCGTCGACTAGTTGAAGGCTGAGGCCAGCTTGAATGAAGCCTTGCTACGTAATGCACATACGGGGGGGAAGGGCGCACATGAATAGCTCATTGCGGGGGAGCATCATCAGCATTACAACAGGACGCCATAGCTGTGTCTGTCTTTGGAACGGGGCATGTTATGGCGTGCATGTGGCCTTAGGACATACGTGAGGCTGGGTGACCCGTGGGTCGTGGCGCAAGGGATTTCGACGACGACTTGGTCGGCTTGGTTAACATCCCCTCCTCTATTAGAGTAAATAAAAAGCCCCGTGAGCAGTCCATGCAACCGACTGAGCAATCAGTGACGCGCCCGCAACCCCCACCATGCTTACCTGGCAGCTCATGACCAGCAACCCGACTTGCGAGGCATACAGCGGAGAGGAGAAGGTGGCCGTGGCGGTGGTGGTGGAGGCCTTGTTCTGGGAGTACCTGTGCGGGCGCCGTACATGGAGGCATTGTACGGCACGTGCAGTTGAAGCCTGTGTCCTGATCTGGCTGGATTCAAATGTGCAACCAACTAGGATCAGGCGCACCTCCCGTATGGGTGTGCGCCCCACTGTATTCTACATCCTTATGCGCATCACGCATTCCTCCCCCCTTCCATACACACACATACTGACTCGGGGCAGCACCCCTTGCCAGCTCCCCGCACACGTACAATGTGTTCGTTTGCATGGTAACGTCCGTAGCCCCAGAGGGCCAGCAGGCCTGGCCTTCCGCGTAGTTCGGTGGCCCCGCTAGTGAGCCTTTCATGGAGGTTCCCGACCTGGTGTCATTGACCGCATACACAGTGGTTGGGGCGGCCGTACAGCTGTACAGCTGAGTTCCGCCGCCCACCCACACGCCGCCGCTGCAGCTCTGGGCTGCGACATGTAGCCGGCCGCGCTGCGAAAGCTGGTTGGCCAACAGGGCGACAAGCAGCAACAGCTGAGGAGCGGCAGCGGCCGAGCGGGCTGGCGATCGTGGGAAGCTGGAAGTGGAAGGAGATGTAAAACGTAGTGGCTGCAATTTTTGGTAGAGTAGCGGCTTGCTATCATGGTCGCGTGAGCCTAATTTAGGCTGACGTTGGCTCTGCCGGTCCGGCGACAGGCGTTGGTTTGCAGTAGAATTGCTTGCTCGGGACGTAATCCTGGCCATTTTTATTTCAATTGGGCAGGGACTAGCATTTTTGCGTGGCCTCGCGTAAACCTGACAGTTGCCAGGGCTGCGCCCGTTCGTCTGAATTCTTTCTTTCACGCCCAGTTGCCTGACGTAATTCTGGCAACTGCAACAAGTAAGTTGGGGACTCTACGCAGTTTCATTCGTGGGCTAGGTCCATGAATCACTTGACGGCGAGCAACCACCGCGTGATGTACCAATGCAAGCGTGGTCGCGGCTCCTGCTTGTCTTCTTGCAGCAATTCAAGAATTCACTGGCTGTTGTCGGCATTCTGTGCGCATGCTTGTGCAGATGTGCACCTGTGCGTGTTACCGACGGTTGCCGGTTTCGGAGGATCTGCTAGGTGGGGTTGCGGGCTTGCGGCGGCTGTCGCCTGGTTGCCGATGGCGGCGGTTAGGACTGCTACTCCATGTCAGAGTTATTCGTCCTGTTGCGGGAACGACGAGCTCCCCGGCCTGTGCGCTGCAACGCTTGTATGTAGGAACCACAAGCTGGCTTCGGCCCTAAAGGGATTCGGCATTCTCGGATGCGAATGGGCCGCATAAGCAGATCAGAAGCTGCGTAAGCGGCTGCCCCGGCTTTGGCTCCTAACATGAAGCGGGAGAGCATCATGTCGACAGGAATTGGCATTGAGTGTGAACAGACACACAGTCCGAAGCAATATGTATCTCTCGCACTTTATTCGTCCCCAGCTGTTCAGCAGATTATAAAATTTGGGACTAATTATGCCAGCAACATTTTTGTGCCATGTGGCTGTCGTCTTGCGCTGCGGCTGCCATTTTGCCGGTATTCGGCTAGTAACCTAACAGAAGTAATACAATTCTGGCATGGCCACAACATAGGGTTATCCCCGACAATCAGCACCGTATTTACATAAACAGCTTGGAGTGCAGCATGGGCACAGCATGGGGCAGCACGACAAATCGCGGCATGGCAAATGCGACTTTCGACGCCTGAGCATCGCCTCATGGAGAATACTAAATAACTTACTTGACGCACACATACTGACCATTTTCCCACCTGTCACCTTGTCCAAGGTCTTCCCGCCTGCTTGACGAAGGCCCTAGCGAGCCTGCAGCTAGGCACCTTCATAGGCGTTTGCTTTATACCCCCTAATCAGCATGGCAGAATTAAGGAGGCGAAGCGAGCGTATAGCAGCTGTAGAGGCGAAGTCACCTCTTAACCTAAAGGAGCCAGAGTAAGCGTACATACTGGCTTTTGGGACTTCATCTAACACCTTCACAATTGTCGTTACCTGAATCGTAAAGCCCTGAATGCTCCGAGGCCGGGAGCAAGCTTTCCAGCGCCTGCTGACTAACCATGTCGCGCGCACGTCCCTCTTCTGCTCGACAGGACATCAGATTCGGAGCACAGCAGCGGCGATGATAGCGATGGGGCACTTGACGAAGAGATGATGCCAAAGAACAGCAACCAACAGCCCAAAAAGCACAGCGCGAAATCACCGCAGCGGAAGGGTCAAAGCCCAGGCAAGGCCGCGCAGCGAAGCCCAGCGGGTGCGCAGCGGAAGCGCAAGGTGAGTTTGGGGTGGGGTTGACGCGGCTAGCATGGCGGGGCCTTCCCCTGGGTGAAGCCTGCCGCCTTTCGTAGGTCCTCCTGGGCACGTTAAGCTAGGTCCTAACAAAGCGGGGTGTTGCAGGGCCGCTCATGAGGTCTTTTCGCCTTCTCTTACTTAACCCTACCTTTGGGCTTACTGCCCGCCGTAAATCCAACCCATCCCGCCTCACCCCACATCTGCCGTACCCCGACCTGTAACCCACAGGCAGCCGCTGATGCAGCAAACGACGAGGGTGGGCCAGCAGCTGCCGGGACGGGTGACGGTGTGGCGGCGGGCCCGGGGCCGCCAGGGGCAGGGGCCCAGAACGGCACTGCGGGTGCTGCTGCTGCTGGTGCTGCTGCAGGTCCTTCCACAGGCGCAGGCTCCGAAGCTCATGCGGGCGCTGGTGCAGCAGCTGGTGCCGCCGCCGCAGCAGCAGCGCACCCGCCGAGGCCCGCAGCGAAGCGGCGGAAGGCGGCACCGTTGGAGTCGCTGCACAACCTGACGCTGTGGGGTAGGTAGCGGCAGCGGTAGCGGTCATGTGGGGGCCGGTCGGTGGCTGCGTTGCTCGTTGGCTTCGGTTGGGATCAGTACGGGTGTCTTGGAAGGCGGGCAGAGGGGGAGGCGTGCGTCCTCATGCTCCTGGTGCCGACCCAGATCCCATGATTGATGGATTTTCGTTCCCATGTTGGTGGATGTTGCCCCTGCAGACATCATCACAAAGCACCCCGCGTCGGTAGAGCGGGCGGCCAAGGTGCGTGCGTGCGTGCATGAGCGGGGAACACCGCAGCGATGAGCGATGCATGTGGCAGCATGTCGTATGGGTTATGACTCTGTGTGGGGGCTGGGTGATGGCAGGCCTGCCCTGGGAATCCTTCGTCAGGTGGCCTTTTAGGAGCCGTTGAACTGCTTGCACCTCGGTCAGCTCCTCACCACGATAGCTGGCAGCTAATAAAGGTTCCCACCGCAACCGCAATGCAATGCAACCCCACCCCCAGGAGTGGGTGGAGCGGTACTGCCAGGACAAGATGACTGCAACCGCCGAGCTCATGACGATGGTCGTGCGGGTAGGGGCGGGCGGGCGGGTGGGTGGGGGCGGGTGGCTGATCGTCTGGGTAGGCGTGTGGGTGGGGGCGGGGAAGCCATTGCGAAAGGTGCTGGGACTCAGGCCGGTTGTGAGGTGCTGTCAGCATTGTCGGGTTCCCTCTCCATGCGATCATCCCCACTGGCTCGCCCTTGATCCTTCCCCATCCCTCCTCTCCCTCCCCCTCCCAGGCTGGCGGCTGCGAGGCCGAGGTCAGTGTGGAGGAGCTGGAGGCGGGCGAGATGGACGACGTGGTGAAGCGGCTGGTGGACACCATCGTGCGGGTACGGGTGGCAGGGGGGGTTGGGGGGGAGAGGGCTGGGTTGGGGCACTCGACTCATGGTAGTGGTGGTGCTCGCTCCCTGGATTAGCGGGCGGGGCGGGGCGGGGCGCCTGTCGGGGGTGGTGGCCATGCTATTCCCCTAATTTTCTTATCCTACAGCAGGAGGTTTCCTGTATAGCCACCATACTACCGGTATGCCCACCCTGGCGCTTTCCGCATTGCCCTCTGCACGCCCGCATGCCCATCCATGCCGTCCATCCTCAACCCCCCTTCCTCCCCCCCCTCAACCCCCGTTTGTCAGTGTTTCTTTATTTTTACCCCCTCAACCCCCGCCCTCCTGCCTGCCTGCCTGCCGTACGCGCAGGAGGGCGGCTCCGAGCCCTTCCGCGACAAGAAGCTGCGCGGGCTGCGGTCGTCCTACGACGCCTTCTGGGGCGAGCTGACCACCGAGCTGCAGGCGGTGGGGCGGCTGCTGGACGACCCGCTGTGCGACCACCTGAACAACCTGCTCATAGGGATGAGCGTGTGAGCGGGGGGGGAGGAGGGGGGGTGCAGTAGGGATACATAGGAAGGGGGAGTAATATGGATACATAGGGAGGGGGGGGGATTGCGGTAGGGGGGCCGCTAGGGCGCTAGGGGTACCATGGAAAGGTGCTGGGGGGAGGGCTGAGGGAAGGAAGGGTGGTGATGACTTGAGGTGCTGAACGGTTCCCTGTCCCTGCCTTTCCCCACCCCTTTTGCCACTATCATGCAGCCCATGGGTCTTCTTTTCCCCTATCCTCCCCTCTTCATTGGGTATATTTCTTTTCCCCTTCCCCCGCCCCCTCAGCTCCAAGGTCCGCGGCTACCGTCACGCGGGCACACTGACTGCGGGGCTGCTGGTGACGGGCTGGGTGGCGGCGCAGCAGCAGCTGGCGGAGGCGCTGGCCACGGCGCGACACCAGGAGGAGGCGGCGCAGAAGAGCAAGAAGGCGGGGCAGGAGAAGGTATGGGTGTGGGTGCTTGGGGGGCCGTGCGAGTGCGTGTGTGGGTGGGTGGGACGCTGGGTTGGATTCCCCTTGAAAGCGGTCCTGTAGGGGTCCACGGGGCTCCCTTCACCGAGTCCCCCCCGCATACGGTACATCCGTATCTGGCCTGTGTCGGGCCGTTGTGTGCCGTCCGCGTGGTCGTCTGTGGTTCTCCCTCCTGCGACCTGGCAAACAGTCCTCAGGACCCCCACTCACACCTGCTCCTCTCTTCGGTCCTCCCACTCCTCGCCCCCCTCCCCACCTCCCAGAAGCGCATCATTGAGAGCCTGCAGCGGCAGGCGGAGGCGGCTCAGCGGCAGGTGCGGCAGCTCAAGTCGCTGCTGGAAAACACCTTCACAGCGGTGTTCGCGGTGCGGTTCAGGTGGGTGGTAGGGGGGGCACGGGGGAAGGCGGGGATGGAGCAGCTGTTGACCATGTGCCATCGGCAGACTGCTACAAACACACACGCCTTCACGCCCTCTCCCGCCCCCCCCCCCCCCCCCTTCCAGGGATGTGGGTCCCGAGATCCGGGCAGTCGTGATCGATCTGGTGGGTCGGTGGATCGGGCTGCTGCCCGCCACCTTCATGGTGGACCAGTACCTCAAGTACGTGGCGTGGGCGCTCAGCGACAGGGTGAGGGTGGCAGGGGCAGGGAGGGGCGATTAATAGGCATACACATCCTGCATGGGGAGGGGGTGCAGGGGGGAACAAGGGGGGAAACGCGACCGTGTGAAGGGGGCTGCACCAGCGAAGGTTGAGTGGGGGAAGGGTACGGTGACCTCTCACAGCATTCGCCACCTTCCTCAACGTTACTGGCTGTATCATTCCTGCTCCCTCCTCTCCTCCCCCAGGACCCCGGCGTGCGTCTGATGGCCGTCAGTCGCCTGCTCGAGCTCTTCGGCGGCTCCCCCACCGCCCCCGCCCCCGGCCTCCCACCCGCCCGGCCGGAGCCCCCGCAGCACCTGCCGCTGCTGCATGACTTTGTAAACCGCTTCACCCCGCGGTTCAAGGAGCTGCCGTACGATGTGGACGAGAGCGTTGCCGTACTGGGGGTACGTGGTGCCGTACTGCAGTAATCGTGTAGTATTAACACGTGCTAGTCCAGCCTGGTTTTGGAGTTTTAACCTGCCAAGCTGATGACCATGCTTGTACATGCATGTCTTCTTACATGCTCTGCCGCCGCGGGTAATTGACGCTGCTCTCGCTGCTGCCCCCCTCTTCCCGCCCCCCGCCTCTCCCTTTTCCCTCCCTCCCTCTCCCCCCCAGGTTCGTCTGCTGACCCGTCTGGTTGCAGTGGGCGCCCTGGGCGAGTCGCAGCTGCCGCCCGCCGAGTGCTACCGCCTGCTGGCGGACAACCCGCCGGCCATTCGGCGGGCGGCGGCGGAGCTGGCGGCGCAGCTGCTGGCGGAGGATGCGGCAAAGCTGGAGGCGGTGGGTGCGGGTGGGCGGGGGTGGGGTTAGGGAGTGGGCGGGTGGGAGGGCGCAGGGTTGAGGTTGTCCTACTACGCAACTAGATGCACGCATGCATGCATGCATCTTACACTACCGTATGGCCCGTGTCCCCTGTGCCCTCGCGCTGCACAGGTATACTCCCAGCGCGCCAGCGAAGCTGCGGCGGCCGCTGCCGCTGCCGCCGCTGCACCAGCAGCAGCAGGAGGACGTCGCAGCGGCCGCTCCAAAGCAGCCGCTGCGGCAGCCGCTGCTGCAGCAGGCGCCGGCTCCCAGGAGGCTGCAGCTGCTGCCGCCTCCTCTTCGCTGCTGGCGGACCCGCACCAACGCAAGCAGGCTACGCTGGTGGGGGCGGTGCTGGAGATGATGGCGCTGCTGCGGTTCGGGCAGGCGGCGGTGTCGCAGCAGCAGCAGCATGCAGGTGGGGTGGGTGGGGGGTTTCTTGGAGTGGGTGGCGTGTCATTGCAGCAGCAGCGAGATGGGTGTGTTGGGGGTGGCGTCAGTGCAGCGGCGCCCATTGCCGGCATCATCGGGATCGGGCGAGTATGCAAGGGTGGAGGGGGGATGATGATTGAGGGTGTGCTGGACTGGGGACTACTTGGCTGTTCGTCCCTCACACGGTTGTGCCTGCCTTGCAACTGGGGGGTTACCACACCTTGGTTCTGCTATTGACCTCCCCTGGAGCGGTACCGGCGATCTGGTAATGTGTTGGTGTGTGCGCATGTGTAAGTGTACGGACATGTGTTTGGGCACGCAGGCGGTCGCGGGGCTGCCCCCTCCGGCCCCCCCCTGGACCCGGAACTGGTGGAGGACCTGGTGGACGCGCTGCACCCCAGGTGGGTGGGGGGGGTAGGCGGGGGGCATGGTAGGGTTTCTGCCTGACCCAAGGAGGGTAAGGAGGAGGGAGAAGTCGCCTTCATGACAGCTGTACGGTATCCTTGGCTGTGTACCGCTCCCACAAAAGTGTCCTGGTTGCTGTTCCTGACTGCGCACAGCCGCACTGCTGCGCTTAACTCCTAACTCGCATCCCCCCCCCGCCCCCAGGCTGCCCGTGTTGCGCTCCTGGAAGCTGCTGGTGGAGTGCCTCTCCGACGACCTGCTCGCGCAGGTGTGGCGACCCACGGGTCTGGCGCACCTCGCGCAGCTGCTGGCGGCCTCCGTGAAGCGAGTGCGGAGCGGTGTGGTGGCGGCGGAGCGGGCACTGCCCCGGCGGCAGGTGTGAGGGTGGGGGTGATGCGGGGGAGGGGGGCGGCTACGGTGAGGCGCGGAGGAACAAGGCACGTTGTGCGGTGGCGGCGGTTGGGGGTTGCGTGCAGAGGTTAGAGAGGTGCGTTGTGGCTGTCGCCAGCATGTGATGCTGTTTGCTTGTGGCAACGGAGGAGGTTACGGGTATAAGTGCACTGAGTACTGTCAGTGTCCAGATTGTACGGGGTACCCCGTGTAATCTGGACACCGACAGTACACTGTGAACCTGTAACCACCTTTCCGTCGCCACAGGAAACAGCACCACATGCTGGCTACAACAACGACAGCACGCCCTCCCCATCGCACGCCGCCCCACCCTCCATCACACCCCTTCTCTCCCCTCCCCTCCCTCAGGCTCCCCGGGGTGCCCGCGCCCCTCCCTCCGACTCCGAGTCGCTGCAGGAGGCCAGCCAGGTGCTGCTGGCGGCGCTGCCGGGGCTGCTGAGGCGGCACCAGACGGATGCGCATGTGGTAAGAGGTGGTGAGGCGACACGCGATGGGAACATGGAGGGGGGGGCGTGACGATACCCGCAGCCTGGGGGTGTGTGTGCGAGGAAGCTAGAGAGAGAGATGGGTACAGCCGCTGAGGTGCTGAGGCATGTGTGGGTGTGTGCATGGAGGGCGATGGGAAGAAAGGAAGCGGTGCATGCCGGTGTATCCTTGGCCTGCGCCAGCGCATGCAAAGCGCTGTGCGCATGGCCCATGGTTAGTGCCGCCCTTTCAGCTCGTGTGCTAGATCGGCAGCATCTGTGTGTACACGGCCAACCACAACGCCAACCCCTACAAACGCGCAGGTATCCGCGCTGGTTGCCTCGCTTCGGGAGCTCAAGCTGGAGCTGTTCAGCCTGCGCGGCGACGAGGCGGGCTGGCGGGCGCTGCTGGGGCTGGTGGGGGAGCAGCTGGCGACCCGTGGGACGGCACCCGAGCTGCTGACTCAGTGCGCGGAGACGCTGATGCATGCAGCCACTCGCGGTCCTCAGGCGCTGCAGGTGGGGGGTGGAGGGGTAATGAATATGATCGTAGTTATAGTAACTATGATAGTGGGTGAGGGAGAGGCAAGGAGGAGGACACCGTGCATGGCACCCATGCACGCGACGGCTGGGCTGTGTATGTGTCTTGGCCATCATTTTGCTGCTTCTGGAGCCCCTGCCCACGCTTTCGCACCGTGCTTCTTGCCATTTCCTTTCGCACGAATGCATGACACCTCGTATCCCCCAACTAATCAACGACGCCTTCCCCACGCCACCCCGCCGTACAGCCCTCAGCGGGCGTCGTACTTCGGGACACCTGCGAGCAGCTGGCAGCGGGCCTAGCAGCCGCCGCCACCGCCGTACGTGAAATGGACGAAGAGGACTTGCGGGAGGCGGTGGCGGAGCTGGCAGCGGCAGCAGCAGCGGCGGAGGCAGAGGCAGCAGCGGGTGGGGGCGGCGGCGGGGACGGAGGTGCAGCAGCGGCGGGGGAGGGTGCGGAGGAGCTGGTGGCGCTGCGGGTGGCGTTGCTGAGGACGCATGCAGTGCTGGTGGGTCGGGGGGGGGGGGCTTGGACATGGGTGCTGGAGGCGGGCGGATGGGTGCTGGGTGGGCTGCCGAGGTGGCACACGTGTCAGTGACACGTGTTCGTACCGGTAGGGGGCATGTGGTTCTCGCTTGATTGGGCTTGGACTACGGTACTGCCCTGTACCGCCTTGTGCACACACTTACCAGTACCAGTACCAGCCTTGGACTGCATGCACCCGTCTACATGCACATGCACACGATACCACCTTGCACTACATGCACATGGGGACATGGCCTGTGCAGTCGTGATGCCCTACCGTGGTGGCGCCCTTGCACCCACCAGCACATCACACGCACCTGCACACATGCACCCTCGCTCCACCGCGCCGCTGCTGTCGCCTTAGATCCGCGGTGGCGCTGCGCTGGCTGCCGACCCACGGGTCCACGACGCGCTGGATGAGCTGCTGGCTGGATGCGGCTCCGGTCGGCTGCTGGGGCCGCTGACGAGTTTGCTGGCGGCGACGCAGCTGATGGTGCTTTTGAACAACGTGCATCGGGTGAGGCTGGGGGGGGGTGACTAGGGGGTTTGGAGGAACGGTGATGGGGCCTCACGGCCCAAAGGTGTTCACCAACGCCTTCTTTACTCACCCAACCCACATCCCACACCCATCCAGGTCAATTCCGAGCCCCAGCCCGCCGCCGCTGTTGCAGCTGCCGCCGACAACGGCGCCGGCCCCAGCACCGCCGCTGCCCCACCCGCTCCCGCCCCCGCCTCCTCCTTCTCTGTCGTACAACGCCTCAAGCAAGCCCGTGACGCACTGGTCTCCCATCTGGTGGCCCTGCATGCCGCTGCGGGCAGCAGCGCGCATGCGGAGGGAGGTGCCCTGGAGCTAGACGAGGAGGGGGAGGAGGAGGAGGAGGATGGAGATCGGCACATGCGCAATGCTGGTCAGCGGCGGAACCGAAGGAGCAGTCTTGGCATGGGTGGCAAAGGCGGCAAGGTGGTGGAGGGTGTGGCGGTGATTCAGGACGCTGCGTTCCGGGTGCTGACGGATGTGGCGCTGGTGTTTGGATCCAAGAACTGGAAGGTGCGTGGGGAGGGGGTAAAATTGGGAAACTGACGAGAGGAGATTGGGGGGGTGGTGGGGAAGAGGGGGTGATGGTGAGTTTGGTGGGGCTCGCACCCAGCTGGCCCCATCGCCTCTACCCTACTCGGCCGCTCCCGATCACGGGCCCCCTTTGCCCCTTCCTCACCCCACCCTGTCCCCCCTTAACCCACCCTAACCCTAACCCCTCCCCCCTTCACGGTCTTCCCCCTCCCCTCTCCCCCCTCCCCTCCCCCCCCAGGGTACCCCCCTGGAGCGGGTGTGCCAGATGTCCCTCAGCGAGCAGGTGGCGGACCTCATGTGGCGCCACTGCGCGGGGGTGCTGCGGGCGGCAGTCACGGTCGGGGAGCCGGAGGAGGGAGAGGAGGAGGAGGGTGGGTGGGGGGGTGGAGGGGAGGTGCGTGTGATGGGATGCGTCGAGCTGATATAGCCCCCGGGCTGATCCATCCTTCCAGCACTGTACCTGCAACCCCGTCCTTCCTCCTTTCTACCAGCACCCTCTCCTCTCCCACCCTTTCCCCCACTCCTCCCCACTCCACTATACATCCCTTTCCTATATCCAGCCGTACCCATCATACGTACCCCCATTACCTCCCTCCTATCCTCCCTCTTCGCAGACCTCCCAGACGACGCCGACGAGCTGGCCGCCGGCCCCCGCGACTCCCCCTCCGCCGCCCCCCGCCGCTCCTCCTCCTCCGCCTCCCGCTCCGCCGCTGTGGCCGCCAAGCTAGCAGCGGTGGGGTGCCTGGGTCGGCTGCTGGCGCACGACGTGTGCGGGGCGTACCACCGCACCATAGCGGTCAACCTGGTGGCGGAGGTGAGGGGGGGGGCGGGGTGGTGGTGGGCGCGTTAAGGAAACTGGTCGCGAGTCGGAACGCACTGTGATTGCCGGGTTGTTTGTTAAGAAAACTGGCCGCGAGTAGGAACGTACTGGGATGTCGGAAGATGAAGTCCCAGTATGTGGGGGTCAAAGACCATACCGAACCATAGGAGACCACAGGTTGTGTATGTGGGGGTTGGGTAAGGGCATGGGCTAGGGCAGGGGGCTGCCCTGTGTGATCGTGTTGTTTTGGGCTGTGGGCTTCTCCTCCTGTTGATAACCCTTTGTCGTTCCTTCCTTCCCTCCTTCCTTCCTCATGCCCCGCTCTCCTCCGCAGTTCTGCAACCACGGTCCCGAGGTGGCGGATCTGATTCGGGACGTGTGTCGGGAGATGGCGGCAGCGCGGCCGCATGGAGAGATGCCACAGATCTACACGGGGGCCATACGGCAGGTACGGACTTGACAGCTGCGGGGTTGGGTACCCTCCTCTTCTCCTCCTGAATTGCATGCACAGAGCCACGGATCATGCGCGCTGTTGTTGGTGGTGGTTGGGTGCCTTGCTTCAGTCGCTACCGCTACCGACAGCTCTGCATCGGCTGCTGCTGCTGCGCCCTCTCCTCACGACTTGTTCTTTTCCCCGTATCCCCTCCCCCCTTCCCTTCCTTCCCCTTCCCTCCCCGCACAGTGTTGGGATGCCGTCACCGCCGCTGGCGAGCTGGGCGAGCAGGCGGAGCACGCGGCCCTGCAGCGCTTCTCAGAGCTCAGCCGCCATGTGGCCAGCATGTATGCAGGTGGGTGGGGGGGGCTGTGTGTATGGGTTGTGCGGATATCGGGATATGTCGGTGTTGCATGTAAGCATGTGGCGCGGAAAGCAAGAGGTGGCGCCCGCAAGGCGCAGGGTGTGTCGTTCTGATATAGTGTGTTGGCAGGTTCCTTCCTTGTTCGTGCCTCCCATCGCTCCCCACAATGCCTCCTTCCCCCAACCCCTCCCCCGCTTCTTTTCCCCCCGCTTCCTCTTCCTCTTCCTCCACCCACCCCCACACCCACCCCACCCCAGGCCACGGCACCTCCCGCTCCGAGCTGCTCTCCATCCTGCGCGACCTCACCGCCGACTCCTTCCGCGACGCGCCCACCAACCTGGCGCTGCTGGCCTGGGGCGCAGCTGCCTTCGTGGCTAAGCTGGCTCCACCGGACGCCGGGGAGCTGGTGGGGGAGCTGGAGGGGCGGCTGAACGATGCGGAGGCGGATGGGGAGGAGGGGGCGGCGGCGGCGCGGCATGAGCGGGATGACCCCGACTGGGCGCCCATGTACCACTACTTGGGGCTGTTAAAGGTGTGGGTGGGTGGGGGTGGGGTGGTGAGGGGAGGTGTAGGAGGGGAAAGGGCGGAGGTTGGATGAGGGGTCGGGCGTAGGCGCGGAAGGTGAAACGATCTGCAATGGAGCTGGCACACCTCTTACGACCGGACTTACGGCCACCCCTGCCTACTGTGTCGCGCTGCGCCCCCTCCTCACTCCTCCATCCCTCCCCCCCCTTCCTCCCTCACCTGCTCCGCCCTGTAGGAGAAGGCCTCCAAGGGGCGGGTGGCTCCCCGCGCGCTCAAGGGCGCCTCCGCCACCACCCCCAAGGCCGCACGGAACCGCAAGATCTCCTTCGCACCCTCACCCCGGGAACGACAGCAGGCGGACGAGGAAGAGGAGGAGGAGCAGGGGGAGCAAGAGGGCGCAGCAGCCTCACCACAAGCCCGGCCGAAGAAGCAGCAGCAGGCCAAGAAGAAGGCGGCTGCGGTTCCGGAGGAGGGGGCGTGGCTGCAAAAGGCGGTGCGCGCTGCGACTCGTAAGCCGGCGGTGAGAATTGAGGAAGAGGAGGATGAGGAGGTGGGTGAGGAGGAGCAGCAGGCGCGGGAGAAGGAGCGCCGCACCCGAGCGCAGGCTGCAGCTGGGAGCAGGCGCCGGCCGCAGCAGCAGGTGTCTTTCAGGGAGGCTGCGGAAGAGGAGGAGGAGGAAGAGGAAGAGGAGCCGCCGCCGCAGCAGCAGCAGGAGGCGCGGAGGGGGCCGAAGACAGCAGCAGCGGGTCGGCAGGTAAGACAGCAAAGCGGGCAATGCGGGTGTGCAGCAGCTACCAGTAGTCTTAGTATCGGTACTGGTGGGGTTAGTGGTGTAGCGCGTGGATGCATGCTTATGTGACCTGTTATGTGACTGGTGGTTCCCCTTCCTGGTTGCTGTGTTGCGAAAGGCCATGTTGTGAGATTAAAGAACAACTTCTCCTTTTGCCCCTCTTACCCGCCACCCTACTTCTGCAGGCCGCGGCGGCTGCTGTCGTACCTTCTTCCGCACCGCAACGACCAACCGCTCGTCGCACCGCAGCCAAGGGCGGAGCCGCCGCCGCTGCCCCTCCTGCAGCTCCTCTAGCCCCTGCCGCTGCCGCTGCTGCCGGCGCTCGTTTGCGCGATATTGATCAGGATGCCGGACCCCATGCCCGACTGACACAGACCCAAACACAGTCGCAATCGCAATCGGTGTCGCGCTCACAGTCCCGGGCGAGGACCGAGTCGCAGTCCCGGGGCCGTTCCGGCGGCCGCTCTCAGCAGATGCAGCAGCAGGGATCGCTGGGCGCGTTCAGTGACCTGGCGGCTGAGACGGAGGGAGCAGGAGTGCGCGAGGAGGACGAAGCGGAGGTGCGGCAGCAGCAGGAGGAGGAGGTGGACGAGGGAAGCGAGGAGGAGTTGCTGGAGGAGGAGGAAGAGGAGGAGCAGCAGGAGCCGCATGCGGCACATGAGGAGCAGCAGGAAGAGCCTGGGGTGGAGGAGGAGGAAGAAGAGGAAGAGGCAGCCAACCAAGCCGCTTACGGGGAGGAAGAAGACCAGGAAGAGGAGGAAGAGCAGGAGGAGGAGCTTCGTCTGCAGATGCCAACGGAAGAGGAGCTGCCGCCGCCAGCAAAGCGGCTGCGGGGCCGGCAGGCCATGGCTCCTCCTCCACCTGCTCCCGCTGCTGCTGCTAGGGCTGCAGCTCAACCGCCTGCGGCAGCGGCAGCGCGGGGTACGGCAGCAGCGGCGGCGGCAACAGCAGCGCCTCAGGGCCAACGCGGTGGGAGGGCGGCAGCAGCGGTGCAGCCAGCTCCCTCGGTGTCGCTGGTGGCGATCACGGGTCTGACAGGCAATGGGACTCGCAGTGCGGGCAGCCGCGGGACGTCAGCGGGCAGCCTGGCGGCGAGCGAGGTGGAGCAGGAAAAGGAGGAGGAGGAGGAGGAGGAGGTTGGGGCCGAGGAGGAGGAGGGGCTGGAGGCGAGTGAGGGCGGCGGTATGACCGGTGGAGGCCAGGAGGCTGCAGAGGAGGTGGTGGAGGAGGAGGGCGAGGGCGAGGAGGGCGGTGCAGGGAATCTCGGTGAGGGCGAGGAAGAACGGAGTGTTTCGGAGGACCAGGGGTACAGCCTGCGTGCTAGCGAGGGGCGCAGCATGGGGGCCGCAGGTGCAGCGGCTGAGGAGGAGGAAGCGGAGGAGGACGAGGGCGAGGCCGAGCAGCCTGGAGAGGAGGAGGAGGACGTGGAGGAGGAAGAGGAAGAGGGAGAGGAGCAGCAGGGGAGCGGCTCCTTGGCGGCGCGAACACCGCTGTCAGGCCGCAAGCGCCGACTGAGCACGGGCGACTCGGAGGGTGAGGTGGACCAAGAGGAGGAAGAGGAGCAGCAGCAGGAGGCGGCAAACGGAGCTGTGAGCGAGGAGGAAGAGGAGGATGTCAGCGGGGGCGGGGCTGGGCACATGCAGCAGCGGCAACCGCAGCAGCAGCGGCAACCGCAGCAGCAGCAGCAGCGGCTGCAGTACAGCGGGGGTGCACAGCCGCAGGTGTCGTTGCAAGCGGACTCCGTGGCGGATACCCAAGCCACTGCGGAGCCGCCGCCCAGGCGCCCGCATGGCAAGCGCCGGCGCTTTTGAGGTGGAGATTACCGTTGCAGTTGTGGGGCTCAAACCGCCATGGTAGTGACGCGGGTCGCAACGATGTCCCGGTATGTAGATATGTTAATGCGGTCAGGGGCCGGAGATGGTTCGTTGAGGTTGCTTGAGGAGTAGTTTGTACTGCTGTCCGCCAATGCGGAGAAGAGGACCTTAGCTGCGCAATACTGAAGGCTTAGATGACGAAGGATGGAAACTGGTTTGCTTACGCTGCAATGTTGTACGGTCACATTGTTACACATTGCGGTTGGGGGTTTTGTTTTGGGAAGGGCTGGGTTGCCCTAGTCCCGAGAGTGGAGATGCCCTTTTCTTGGACGGCGCGGCTGCACTCCTATCGTTTGCCGTGCAACTCATACCATACAGCCGTGTGCTTACATGTGCAACAAGCAGGATGTTTTGTTTCAACCGATAGACGTACATATATGTTTTCCTAAGTTTGTTCCTCAGCTATCCTGGAGTGTGGCTGATGACGAGTTGATGGGGCCATCGTCCGTACATGCATTTCCAACTGCCTGACTGTCGAGGCTTCATAGCAGGAACCGGAAAATCCCGATCGGTTGCATGTGTGTGTGTACGTGGTACCGGTAACTTTCGCGCAAAGAGGAGATCAGCCTACCACATGTTACACATGCGGCCATGCCATGTATAATAACAACTGGCCATGCCGTGCATAGAAAACGTGGTTACAAACAAAACTCTCCCCGTTCTCCACGTGAGGCAGTGCAGTGTGCACATACCGGTTAGAGGTCGTGCGCAAGGACCCAACGCGGCTGCCGTCGCCTGTCAAGACTCCTGCCATCATCAGTCATCCGCTATCGTATGGTGGTGTCACGGTGTATGCAAAGCTGCCATTCACGCATACCTCACGCGGCTTTACACATGATCACGAACACAAGGTAAGTAGCGGTAGCTACACGCCCCAAGTGAAGTAGGTACGACATGCGCGCCCTGGGCTCTAGGGGAAAGCGTACTTGCATCCCTTCTGCCGGACAGGCAGCATCTGGCTTGTGTCAAGGCCAAGCTCTGCAGGTAACGGGCGGAACGGAAAGGGGGGGCCGGGGGTGTGTCGGGTTTGCGAGGGCGAGACATGGGCGGAATGCCGCTGGGTGGGCCGCATCGCCGCGAAGACTGGTAGCGCAAGGCCGTTAAACATGTGTTATCGTTGGTATGAACCTTCTAAACACGCAGAATAGCTTCCTCGCCCTCCTCCTCTTACCTTTCGCACGCCGCTCCATCACCTTGGTGGCATCCGAGTCTACCGGCTTCCGAGCGAAGAACCACAAGCCTGCAGTCCGGTCCATGGGAGGTGACCCACATGCTGTCAGCAGTCAGGCGTGTCAGACGGCGTCCTAGGCGCTGCTAAGTGAGACAGCTGACAAGGATATCTAGACAGATGAACCCCAGCGGGTCGCAGACACCGGCGCAAGGCAAAGCAGTGCAAAAACCCAATACCAGTGGTTCTCCGCTAGTTGCTTACCCCCAAAATCAAAGTTGGTTTCGCGGTTCACGCTGCCGGGTTGGGTCCCCGGGCGGCCCGAGGTCTGGCGGGAGGGCGGAGCAGCGGCAGCAGCGGAGGCAGATCCTGTTGCTGCCGAGGTGCGGTTCGTGGGTAGGGTGCTGCAGCTCCCCTCTTTGCTCCCCGGATACTTGGGGGCTCCTCCGCTGATGATTGCCCAGTCGTACTTGAGGGTGGTGTTCTTAGAGCGACCTACGGGGTGCGTGGGAACGCATGAGAACGTTATCGGATGAGAACGCAGAGTTCACCACACTTAGCCTGATAGCCCGAGTAGTACCGCCCGGGTAGTATAACACGATGTCCCATGGGTCACCAGCGTGCGTTTTGAGCTGTGCGGCCACGTGCCAGGGCAATGCATGCGGGACGTTCAGGTCCTTACCTCGAAAGCAACCGGTCGCCTGCCTGGGCGGCCGGAAAGTTGTCCATTCCCTGATGCCTTTCAATTCCTTAACTCATTCTTTTCGGTGCACTAGGACGGCATACTGCCCAAACGGGGCATGATTACATAAAGAATGGAGCCTCAGAAGCACTCACCCACTGCCACGATCCAGTAGGGCCCAAATGCGTTGCGCCACGCCTCCCCCGGCAGTACCCGCAGCAGCAGCTCGGGCCCCACCAGCAGCTTGGCGTCGTTGGCATCGGAGCCGGGGGTGGCGGGGAAGGCCAGCAGCGGCGAGGAACCAGTCCTGGGGGGAGTACCGGTGTTAGGGGGGTTAAGCGGCACGGGCTTGTAAGCTTTGGTGATGAACCTACATTGACCTGCTTTATTACTTCAGTAGGAGTCCGCAAGTGCTGAAGAAGGTGCTGCTGCTGGTTTAGGGTCACAACTTTGCATGTGTAGGACAGCAAACGGTAGCTACCGGTATATGCCTGTGGTACCGTACGTCAGGCAAGTTTACCGTACCTGTCGTACTTGGAGCTTCCTACGGAAGGACCGTTGACTGCTCCCTTGTTGGCATAGTTGTTGACAATCAAACCCGCCTGCACACGGAGGCATCAAGGCTATCTTCCCATCTGGCGTCGTAGATCACGCTACTTACATGCGAAACGGAGGCACGATAGGAACATTTCGACGAGCGGCAAGGCCCTGGCCAGCAGCCTCCTTATTCCTTACCGAGATGTTGGCCGCGTCCCTTAGCACGTACTCGGCCTTCACGCAGTACAGCTCGTCTGGCGGCTGGTAGTTCAGGGGCAGCTGCGGGCAGGAGTGGGATGTGGGGGAGCTTAACACGGACTGATAGTAGCTTCTACACTTTGGCCGCTAATTAACCTTCAAGATGGACACAAGCATAGCAGTGACCCATGGGTCGGCACGTTATTGTGGATAACACCTACCTGCTTCTGCACGTACCAGGGCGCCGCGATGTAGGCCTTCAGCTTGAAGTTACGAACGGTTGTGAAGTTTGCGGGCGGGCAGTTGGTTGAGGTGGTTGGGCCGTCGTTGGCCGTCGCATTGCTGCTGCCGCTGTTCGGGTATAGACAGCCAGGTCGGCGCTGGCTGCGATCTGCCGCCGCTAATGCAGCAAGCAGCAGCGGTGCTAGTAGGAGAAGTGAGCTGCGCATGGCAAGGTCGGGGACGTTTGCGTACGAACGTTGTGTTTCGCTTGTTGTCTTAAGAAAGGGCGAGCCTTAGCTGTAGATATAGGCAAGTGCAGAAAGCCATAAGCTTTCCTTGGAAGTGGCGATGAATGAAGTCGGACCACACATGCCGATTTGACAACAAGCTTTAGCGAACGGTTCCAGCGGCGCTCTACGACATACCCGCGCGTCAGCACGCTAGCGGGGAAGGTGCTGGTGCTTTTACACACGCACTGGTAAAAATGTTTGGACTTGCTCCTGTTCGACTGCTACCGGTAGCGCGAACGAACATACATGGGTTGGGTTTGGTGTATACTCTATTCTGCAAATTGGGCGTTCTACTTGAATACCGTGACTTCTTACTAGCAAGCAACCACCAGGCTTCCATACTGGCATGTCCTCCCGAACTGTGGTCCCAGTGCAGCGCAGTCCTGTACGGAAGGGAGCTGTGGCATGCTTGACAGTAGGTACATGTTTTCGTGTTCACTTGCTGGTTCGCGACAGAGGGGCTTCAGCGGTAACCACGCGTTCTTGTGGATCCTGGTTTGTTTGCGGCAAAGGTTTTTGGTTTGGAGCTTCCGCACGAGTCAGGGTCTGAACAGGCGACCTTGCATGGGACGGGTTCAACACTGTCGTCCCATGGGTCGGTTGGCGGTTGCGGGTCAGCGAGGCTACCATTTGCCGTCTTTAGGCTCAGTGGGAGTTCGTGTCAGTGGGGGCACCGTTTGGCGCGGCCTGCAGTGCCTCGCTGAGTGCTAGGTTTGTGTTTCAGCGGGGTAACCGCTAACCTGTTGGTTTGGGTCAGTTTTGGGCTCACCGGGGTTTGGAATGAGTATAAAAAGGCGTAGTTTTCGTGTCTCTAGACCTTTTTACAGCGACAAGTGGCCAACCGTGCTGGAGGACGGTTGGGGAATCCAGAACCCTCTTTCTTCTCCCTTGATACCGAACGGCTATCAACTGGACTGCGTTTCACACGTACCCTGTGAACACGAAAACATGTACCTACTGTCAAGCATGCCACAAGTGTGGCAACCATTTCCTCCGCCTCCGCTGGCCGTCCCTTGGCCAGCCCCACACGGTGGACAGGGCTAAAGGGGCTCGACAGCGAGTCCACCAGTAATGTATCCGGACGTGACAAAGCGGGTTTAAGGAGTGCCTCCTACCGTGAACTTTGTTAGGGACAAGCG